AATAGATTTACCTTCTGCCGATGTGTGGTAGCTATTAACGCTAAAGTGATATATCGCTTCGATGTCAGGGTTTTGAAGAGATTTTTTTGCAACGTGAAGGTTCGGCGTGATTTTGCAATCTGAGATTTTTGTTGACCCTGAAGAAACAAGGTTTGGCGAGTAAACATTACAAATTGCGTAATTCAAAGTTGGCCGAGTGGAGATCTGCGTCTGGTTTCCGACAAAAAATAAATAAAAATAAATAAATAAACCAAGGGTAGAACATGAACCGCGCTCGGCCCATGGCCGCGCGGTTAATTAGTTTATGCACACACAGAAGCGTTTATGGAAATCAGCCGTGGAAATTTCACTGACCAGAGAATTTAAATATAAGCCGTGCTGATAGATGAAGGGAAAATCTCCTATAGTGGTAAGTACTATTTACGCTTACTTCCTGGTTATTTACATAGGTTTGTAAAGAGCAGCAGAATAAAAATCTGTTGAACTCTGGAAAGTTTTGTTGTGTTGGAGGTTTGCTCATCTTTCCTTGCAAGGATGTAATAAAGGTGCTCACTTTCATATGATCTTTTGTGTCCTCCATAATTCGAATTTTTCAAATAACACCATTCTGTTCTTTTTTTTTTTACAAAAAAGGGTCTTACACAATCAACAGATCATTAAACTGTCAAATTAAATCAATCAATCAACTTTTATTGTGCACTATTTACCAGTGGTAACCAGGGTAAAGGGTAGCAATTGGCTTTTGAATTGGTTACCACCGGTAAATGCGGAGAATAAAACTAACAGTCCTTTGCCAGTTGTTATCGAGTGGTTATATATGTGTGCTGGAGGCTTCAATACTGGCTCTGTAGCAATTTTAATTAGCTTATTTGGAACATCTGATGATGATTTTTGTACATTCAGGCTTAAGAAGAGCCTGCTCCCTTGAGCTTCTGTGATTGGAGACATTACAAAACTAGATATTAGGGTATTCCCACAATCTTGTCACCCAACCCCCCCCCTGCTTTTGTTAATATAATTTGTTTGGTTCATTTTATACCTTTCAACCAGCTCATATAAAGCTTAACCTTTTGCAGGGTGCTTTCAACAACAACAATTTATTTCTAATCAGTATTCCCATATGAGTACATGGTATTACCTAAACTATAATACAGCTAAAATAATGTAACTATAAAATTAGTATTTGGCATTGGTATACATGTAGAGGTGCCTGATGTGAAGATCGAGAGTGATTCATATTGGTATGCCATGGATTATGGAAGATTTTTTTTAGAAAACTGGATGAATAGGATGAATGGGAAATAATGCAACGTCATTGCTTTTTTACAATTCGTGTTACATCAGGGTAAAAAGGCTCTTTAGCCTGTCATACAACCATGTACAACAACACATCTTGGACACACACTTTCTACTTCTCATGGTTGATCAGAACATCAACCACATAGCTTTACTATTAACGATGGTTCTATCTCCATCTCCTTTTTTTTCAGTATTATTTATTGAACTGCAAGAGCAACATTCCTATTTGAATTATCCATATATGGTCATCCTTCCAGGGATTAAGTAACACTGGTTTGGTCTGAAAATTAACAAAGAATAGTAAATAATGGTAGGAAATAAATAATATCTCAAAGGCTAATAAAACGATTATGATATTTTTGTTATGACGGTATTAATGTAACTCTATACACATCTTATGTCTGATTTGTTTTAAGTAGAGATTCCACATTGCATTTGGAAACCCACCAGTATAATTAATTCATTCATCAGTTATATAAATAACTGTCTCTTTATTTGTTCACAGTTATTTGCATGGATGATAAATTATTATTATTTACTGATTTATGTTATTGTGATGGAATAAAGTTTCGCTAGTTGCAGTCGCTTCCTTTACTAAAGTGGGAAGAGGTAAGGGCCTCAAATTCAGCCATGGTTATTTTCCCTTACACATTTCGACAGGCAAATTATTATAAAAAAAAATTAATTTGGGATGAGGATCTCTGAAGCAAACTAAACTCTTGCCTAACCATAAAAGGTTTGTTCATGTTTTTTGGGGGGGAACACTATAGAAGAGGTCTCAATAATTAAAGAGAGGGGAGCTAAAAAAGAGATATTATATATATCTATGACAGCAGAATCTTCTGTAGAGCTAATAACAGATAATATCTGTGGAAGAAACAAACCAAATTTGAAGTTGACATGTTCATACCATTTGCTACATCATCCATATACATACCAGAGTATTACAACATGACCCGACCCTTGCCTCATTTTGGCAATTTAATATCAATACATTTTGGACTACTAGAATCTGATCTGCTTGATCTTTCACTGAACTGAAAAACCACACTCACCTTCGGATTTCCATTGTCACATTTGCTTAGCAAGAGTGGTATTTCTTCGTCTTTTCGCCTGGCTCAAAGTTTCCTCGAGCTTTTCCTGTTCCTTGAAACCCACTGCCGATTCGAACTTAATTTTATGATTTCTTGGGGCATGGTCAGCGACAAAGTAATTGTTGTATCAGCTGGTTGAATTCTCAGAATTTTAAGAGTCACTGACTGAAAATATCGAGAATGGCTGGCCAGGTTAGAAAAATCGAAAATCCTGAAACTTTGCCTAAAGAACGCTTTTAGGGAGCCACTTTCCAAAATATTATTCCGATTTCTTAGAATTTAAAGTCTTCAAGAAATTCGCAAAAAACGAAAATATAGCTTTTTGCCTCATTAAATATGCAAAAAATATCTGGAAAACTGACAAAGTTCTCGGTATTCGCATTGAAACAATTTGCAAAACTAGAACTCGGGGTAAACTTAGCATAAGTGCTTTACTTTTCTTCTATCTAACAATAGGAAGTTTTAAATTTTTCAAGCATTTTGAAGGATTCCGTCGACCGTTGAAGAATTGCCTTCTTATAAGCCCCTATGAAAACGGCAAAAATTGCGTAGTTTTACGGGCTTAAAACGCATCTTGGTATGTCCGATATGAAACTAAAACAAGTACTGTGCCAAAGAGTGTCGTTTCTACTATAATAATATGGAAAAACATTTCTGGGTAATCGAGGTTCACACGGGTAAAATGCAAAAGTTCGCGACAGTCTCTTCTCAAATTTGCATAATGCGGTATGTTCAGAGAACTCTATTGTTGAGCACTCTAGTCTGTTTTTTGTTCCATTTGTAGGCCTTGCTTTGTGGGAAATATACAAAAAGAGAGTTGATCCATGTCGTTATTACAACATTGTTTCATTATTTCACGCAAGATACAAAAAGGCTATAGAAAAAGCCCAAAATATAAGTTCAAAGTTACATAGATTAAACAC